ATTAATCATCCTTCTGAAACATAATAAGCTATTCTGTCATGGTGGTATTGAATGTAAATAATTCCAATTAGTGGTAAATCTCAACTATTTTGCAGAAAGAACAGTATGATCTGATGCATGAGCATTGTAAGGACACAACATAATAAAATAAAGTGACTTGAATTCTGCATCTCAGTAGGAACTTTTCTGGAGACTTCTCAGGCCCTGTGTTTTCTGTTCTTGGATTATTTCTAAAACCTGAAGCAACATAGAAGCAGACCTCAGGGAGCAAAACACCCTTCAGTTTGTAAGGTTCAGGGTGATTTTAATAGACCAAAAGTGAGTGCCCAAGTTGTGCTGCTAATTTCCCACAGGCATTTTCTAAGTTTTTGTCCATTACAGTGTGAGGCCTTTGAATAAAAAGGTTCTGTTTGAGCCAGAACATTGTTGTTGATCTTGTGGCACATGAGAGAGAAATAAAAATATTTCCAGCAGTGAAAGGGAGCTACAAGGCAGGGAATGAATGTCACACCTGCACTGCATAACGATGCACTTTCCTCAAAGGGCCCTGAAGTTTCCTCAGTGTTTTAGCCTGACACTTGCAGAAAATGCCTGGTCACTACCATTTCTGATGGTTCTTGAGAGGAAGTCTCCCAGAGGGAGCTGATCTCTTGGACACTAGGGAAAGCTTGTGAACCAGCCTGAAGGGTTCATACATACGTGACAAAATCAGTCCCAGTCCCTACTCCCTCACATGTGACAGACATTACTAATCAGTCTCACTGCTTTTAACACTGAGCTACAGATAGCCTAGTTTTAACCTCTGGACAACCATTAACAATGAATCAGCATTGAAGACCTCATGATTATTTCTCACAAATTCAAATGGCTCCATAGGAACAATGATTTCCCTACTTCCCTACTGCTCTGTCTGTCCCTACTTATGCATAGAGAAAGGTACTCAGATAGAGATTCAAAGGGGCTGGAAATATTTAATGGGATTACCTAATCTTTCTTTCTTCTCACATTAATACCTACCTCCTACCTCCTCCTTAAGACATAATAAAATCAGTTGTGGAAGTTCAATGCAGAAAGTCTAAAATTTGCTATCATTTTCCAGATCTGAAGATACTCTATATTTGTTAAGTTTTGATGATTTTTCCCTTATTTGTGATGGTAACTCTATTTCCAATGGTAACACTAAGTGAACAACCTAAATCTATTATACTTTAAAGCTATATTTTCTAATTTGTTATTTAAAATATTATCATAGCTAACATCAAGATTGAAGAGTAATATTTTGGTGACATGTTAACAGTGTGACAATGAGTTTGTATACTGTCTTGAAAACAATCATTCAAGAAGTCAGAATTAGATAATAACAACAAAAGGCAAATATAAAATTCAAAGTAACCATTACCTAAGTGTGCACATCTCACTAAAAACCTCTCTGGTAACAGCCAGGTTGCAGTGCCCAGCTTACATTGAAATAAAGTATATTCTGCCACATTAACTCACCAAAATGAATTAAAGAAGCTTAGTCCTGCAGATACAGCTTTACCTACAGAACCCCCATCCCCATATGCAACCAACTATATAGAGCCGAAGCCAGTGAGCTGTAGGTGGACATTTACTTTGTACATCACACAGTAGCCACAAATCAAGTCATATATTTGAACTTAATTCTACCTGGAGAGATCAGTGAAATGGCCATTACTCTGAGGAGCAATGATATCTCCTTCCCTACCACGACGCCAGATCATAATCCACATCTACAGATTGGGTCAACCACTGTCCACGTCCAACTTCTTTGATGTTTTGATTTACTGTTAATGTATGTCATGCAACACAGAATTTCAACCT